TTATGCATACTGAAGATATGTGACAGTCAAATCGCATTTCACACAGAATAATTTATATCAACATCACTTTAACCTGCACTGATCAAGAAAGCTGAAATTGCATTTGATCTGTGGATGTATAACTGTATATAACAGGTGTGTCAGAGGTAGTAGCATTGGACGCAGTTGCAGCAATGGCAAATAGCTGATCTTCATATATAGTTCCTTGTGGTTCAGCTTTTCCATTACCAGCTGTTGTACCACTACCTGGAGGATTATCTCCTTTTGTAGCTTCTCTGTATTTTTGTAGATACACTTTCAGTGGCTCTACATAATTATCAAAACCAAGAGTTGTCATTGCAAATAGAATGTCTTCACCATTAATAGTCTTGCGTTTCTCCATGTGACACCGGTCGCTCGCTTCAGATGTGATAAATGATATGAATTCAGAAACACATTCCTGCACACACTCACGTGCATCTTTAGCTATCTTTCCTGCTTCTGGTATGGCTCTTTTCATAATTTTAGCCACATTTGCTATTGGAAGAAACCGATCTTGTTCACGAAGTGGTCCTGCACCACCACCGCCTCCAGCTCCTTGTAAAGGGTCACTGGCTCCATGATTTGAATCATCAGTGTTTTCAGGATCGTCTAAAAGAGGATTAATTAACACTATATTTTAACTTATTGGTAGGTAGTGGGTTATTAACTGAATATTTTATTAATTACTTATACATGATTATTAACTGTTTTTTAATAACAGCAAAATTCAATATTAACACTGAAAATATTACAAAGAATAAAAATTCTTCTTAAGAAATGTCATTTCAATCATCCCACACAATGATAATATGAATGTTATATAAGTTATAGAATTTTTTATTTACGTTAAAAGTGAAGACAAAGCAAAACAAAATTAACCTACCTTCCATGTCGTCTGATTGTACACTAATATATGATGTAGAAACACCGCTTCCACTAAGGAATGCAGTTGGACCTAATGGTCCCCCGTCATCACCACTTTCACCACTATTTTCCATTTCCAGCTTGACTTACAGAAAATAGACGATTCGAATACTTGAAATTCCTTTAACCTGTCCGCCGTGTTGTTTTCACGACAACTTTATTACATATTTTGGCATAAACAAGTTTGTAAGTAGAACTGACATCGTGCGCCTCAATTGAAATCTCGATAAACAGCCACAAACAAGATTCAAGATAGGTCACTCATATTACAAGATTTTGTATCCAGGAGTTTTTTTTAGCTCAGCCTTACCGTCTGTAGTTACAATCTTATACAGTTCAATCACCGACGAGAAACAGGATAGACTGGACATCCAATGTAAATTTTTGTCACACGGCCGGAGGGTTAAGTAACCTTCTTACCAATCCGCGTCACTCACAACCTTATCAACAAAGTACAAATGAATACAAATAAATAAGAAATATATTCTTTTTTCATTTTTTGTCTCAATATTAAATTCATCAGACTATGGGATACGAAGTTCCATAAGATGGCCAGTTTATTTTGTCTCTCGTCGGTGATGTTATCAACTGTACTTCCTTAATCGCTCTATCGGTGACGCAGAATATGACCATAATCTGGTAAAACAATTTTTGCAAAATGCTGAGCTTTAACTTTCGCATTATCGAAAATCGTATTCACACACATTGCCTTTACACAAAATAAACTCATTTTCAAATTTTGAAGCAAATAAACGAATATAAATTTTTTAATTTTCAGTATTTTTTTTGAATCACCAGAAATCCTCCTTGTGATAATCATTTTTATCGAAAATAAACCTATCTCAAAAATTAGAATCAAATCCAAACATAGATATATTCAAAAGGTTAGTCAAGATAACATTATTATAAAATTTAAATTGACTATTTACAATGGATAAAATTAAAGTTCCATATTAAAGGAAAGTGGTATTCTCATTCTAATATAAAAATTCAATTTGTAATACTGTAATTGACATTCCGAATACCGTTATCGCCAAAAGATGGCACAACTGTCATCATTTGGAATATGAATTTGGTGTTCTCCAAGAAAATAATTACAACAAATCAAATGATATTGATCAACATTCTTTTCCGCATATTTCTGATATTTATTTGATATTTTATTTTAATTATTCTGGAGTCAAGTATTTAGTAAAAGAAAGGAGTTATAGTTACAGATGAGGGAGAAGTTTCCAGTTCAGTAGATTATTTTCACCATATTAATGATAATTCAATTGAATTTACATACTCACTTGAATGATATTCGAATGTAGCGGAACATGTTAATAGAAGCTCCAACGAAACATCAGCCGTGTAACCAGTATCCATCTAATATCACTCGATCAAAGTGTACACACATATGAATTCTCACTTAAACATTTATCACACTCGACTAAACGCTGTCCCGATTAGCTCTGTTTGTCGTTTAAATGCTGCCACACGTCTCGGGAACGATGCGTAAAATACGCAAATAAAATGTACATTCGTGGACACCGATAAAAATCGATGTGAAATAAATCTGCTTAAATATTCATAGGCCTAGAGGATCGGAGAAAAAGACAAATTCAAATCGTAACCCGATATTAGCTCCGAGTAACGGTCCGCAATGTTTCAGCCGAAACTGAAGGCGAGAAGAATTCAACGAGTTTCGAATGTTTTCACGCGTTTTCATCGTTCGCCGTTCAAACCGAAATCATATCAACATATAATTCCGAGCGAGATGGCCCGATCTCCTTTAAATTGTCAAATGTTTATATTTTCAATTGCCTTTAGTGGTACACTGAATCTCGCACAAAGGTCTATTCAATCATTTTTTTTACATGTGTTTATATACTTTCATAAATATATTTCTCTTCGTTAGGTATCAATGATATTTATGATACGGTAGTTTCTTTAAACAAAAGTGGCCCATCACGTTTCTAATATTTTGCGACCTGTCGGGTTCATTGTATCTTAAAACAATCTTTTACGACTTATATCGCTTCGGCAGAGAAGAGAAAGGGAAATGGGAAAGGTGTAGACCACGCGTGGTGTGTTTCGGCCACGTTTTCACGTTTGTTCACCGATCGGTGCGCGTTTCTTCTCATTAGCCTGAGGCTCCTGTGAAACGAACGAAGATACGCGCGGGAGATGAAGACAGAGAGATAGTGCCACCTGCGGACATCCACGGAGTTCGCGGCTTCACGCTCGGGTCCGTCCGTGGGATCCGAGGTAAAAACTCGTAAGATCACGACGATCGTCACCGCGATAAGAAGAGAAGCCGATCGGATGGAAATCCACGGGGGGACGGACGCTAATCTAATCCGACGTTCGTTATCCACCGCGTTTCCTCCTCGGCGCAGTGCCCTCCAACACCGCCCCCCGCAGCGTGGCCACCGATACGCACAATTAATAATCTTTTAATTACGAGCTGTGCCTGCCGAACGCCGCTGTCGCCGAGAATTCCTATGGATCGTTGTGTCATAGGATTTCACGGGCTCATAGCGAGAAGCCTGGCGAGCTCGATCGCGTACCGATTAACGCGAGACGATTAGCATCCCCGTCACAATGCCCGGATATTCGATGAAATATCCAATTAGAAGCGTCGTTTCTTCGAACGTCGGGTCAAACGATGTTTCACTCGTCGCTCGAACGACGCGGCGAGACACGTTTCCAGTGCGTTCGAAGGAAAAAAGGAAACGATTCTTGAGTCACTTCATCTTTTATGAAATAGAATTCTCTAACGATTCTGTATAGTTCTCGTTTCCCTTTTAATGGAAGATTCCTACAGTTTCTCATCGGTCGGTTCACCGCTTAACGCGATGCAATCTTCTCAAATGAAAACTCTCGTGCAGCATGGAAGACGTTTGAAGCAACGAACAATGATTTAACAACAATGACTCTTTACCTTCTATAATTCTATGACGAAGAAAATCAGAGAAAACGGAGAAAGAAAGCGAAGAAGGAAAGATAACGCGTTGCCAAGGGAAATGGGAGATTTATCCTATTATTAATACCTCAACAAGTTCAGTAACAGATTGTATTAGATCCAGTACACATTATCGATCCGTTCTGGATCTACTCCGTTTGATTTCGCTCCATCTTCGTTCGTCGCAAACAATAGACGAGGAAAGAATCTTCAGCAGACCGATAGTGTGTACCGGGCCTTATCGTTCGAGGAGCATTTAAAGGGGCCCACGACGGTTCTCGCGAAAATTGCGAAACATAAGACGAGCGAGCTGGCACGCGAGAACGCGCGAAAGTCCGCGCTCGCTTGTAGCGTTTCGAAAAACAGTTATACCACGGCTCGTTCGCTTGCTCGTGCGCTAGCGCGCTCATCAACGACCCTTATTTATGTCGTCGCCGCCACGTCCCCCGTCCCGTTGCCCTTTTCTCGCCCTTCGGTCCACTCGCCTTTTCTCTTTTCGCATTATCGCGCGAGGCGGCAACGCGCTTTTACGGTCGGTGTATATCAATGACTGGCCCAAAGGAAGATGGCGGCGGAACGAGCTGGCGGAGAGTGCTGGATGGAGAGGGGGACGGCGGTGATGCGGCCGGGAGGGCGGCGGGGGGACGGGCCCCCGTGACAATGGCCGGGATATAAAAACTTGCGTAAAGCTGTCCCACTTATGGGGACCGCAGAGGGGCCCACCGCTCTCGCTGAATGGAGCCGCAATAACCTTTTATTTATCGGTGACTTAAACCGCGATTTTTCTCATCGGAATTGAAGGCGTTCCGGTGTTAAAGGCTTTCGTTAACTACGAGAAATATCTCACGTGGACGCGCCGCGCCGGGCCGCCACGCGGGACAGACCGGATTTAAGATCGTGGATAAAACAGGACCTCGCGGCTCGCCGATCGAGCCGCTTTCGAGCTTGGATCCTTACGTTATTTGCCACGACAGGCGTACTCGTCATTGTCGCCATTGTCGTTGGTGTTCCCTTTAACACCTTCGCTGCCATGAGAATTTACAACGTTCCATATAATCTTACTTATTTTCTCGTGCTACGACAAATTTTATTTTAACGCATTCGCGTTGAAGTATGCGATTGCATTTGTAGTTTCGTTTCGTCTCGCTTTAAATTGAGATATTTTTAAAATAATGGCCTCTGATCCTCGCGTGAAATTAAATTCCGTCTTGTTGAGGTTAAGGTTCTTTCGAATTCCTATAAAAATACGTATTAAACACAAAGCAATTAGTGCGAGTCACCGAGTTTTTGGATTTCATTTAAAAAATGTTGCTTGTTTGCGAATTTTACAATCTACATGCTGGTTCCTACCGAGAATCGTTTCGGAGATGGCTAGCAGTCGGCCATTTTGAGCCACAGCGACGACGCTTTAACGTTAATTTCGCCCGGGCGCGGCGGCGAGTCGAAATCTCCGTGAAGTAGAAAACGCGATGAACACGAATGTTCTCACAGCCGATATTACACGGCGAAACCGGCGGAGCGTTTGCCAGGCCGTTGATTAAATTTTCCGTGATATGAATACATAATAGTCCGAGCAGCTACAGTCTGGACTTCTGTCCAACCCGTGCATTACACACTATTTCGCCTATACAATAAATTATCGTTCCGCACAACACGTGGTCGTTAGAATCGGCCGTTTATAATAATGTCCATATATTATGCTTGTTATTAACGTCTCGATAATGTTTACATTACGCGAGTTATTGCCGCGGACCGCGACGTGAACCGACTCCGCAACATGAGGTTCCAAAAAACGACCGGCGAACAGCTTCCGAGAATCTACGGTTCTCCTTGCCGCGGATAACACACGCTATTTTTTCACTTGACGATGTTTCTCTTTGTCTCGCAACGAAACGAAGGCGTTCACCAAAGAAACTAGAAAAAGCTCGATTGTTGCAATATTTATAAGGAATAGGTATTAAACGTATTAAATGATCGGTAGTTCTATTGTGAAGTGATCGGCATTCTTCTAAAAAATTTAAGATGACGTAGAATTATGTTACTAGTATTTCGTTAAAATTAATTATCTGTTACAATCAAAATAGTTCTATCCACCCATTCGTCTCTTATTTTCACCTAACGTAATTAATATAATATTATCAATATTTAGAACATACCGACTACGTGCAGCGTAGGATTTGTCGAATGCAAAGGGTTAATTTTCAGTTTGTTTCGAGGCGAAGCGTGGGTGTGTATACTCGGAACCGCGATTCAGGGTCCTGTGCACTGCCTGTCCCGAAGGTTCTACTTTCTAGAAGGGCCCGAGCCCCAGAGC